CGGATTAAGAGAGTGAAAATTCAACTCGATTGGAAATAAGTTTAAACTGTAAAGGAACACACCCGTCGAAATTAACCCGTGGACAGCTCGGCTTTGGAGGATACACTAGCTTCAGCTGTAGATGGCATATTGGCAAAACCAGTTGTAGTTAAGACAGATGGTTTAATCTAAAGTTCAATATCAACGGTCCCTCCTTTTAATGTTAGAATTACCTTTTTTGTTGGAAGTTCAACTATATCTGCAACATAGATACCGGCTTCTTCTTCTTTTTGTAACGAAGGAAGGGGATGAAGACTCATCATTTGCTGTTTCTGTGGATGTGGCTGGTTTATCATCATTAGAACTGCTCCTCGGATACTGCTTCCACTGTGGATTTCTCCGAAGCTAGCATTGACATAAGACACTTCGTGTTATCATCGTCGAGCTTTTCCAGTATTTGTCCTGAAAATGAAGGATAAAGCTGACTGCTACTATAAATTTAGCCTTACAAGAGGAGGAAGAGGTTCCTCTCTGTCGATACTTGCATCTGTACCAAATAAACTGTCAAGTTTACAATTTCGTATCTCTTGTTGCTCCAGCTCCTCCAATCTCTTCACCATTTCTGCCTAAAAGCAGGTTAAAATAACTTGCATTTACTATTCGTGTGCTTCAACAAATTAGAACCATGTGAAGTTGTGCTAGAAAAATAGTATGTTAGGATTTGAGAAAGCTCTACACGTTGAGGAAAGGCAGACAATAGTGCGTAGAAGTGAAAAAGAAAAAGTGGGCGAGCTCAGACAGGACTTCATTCTATGGATGAATATATAGATCAGTAGAAGGTACTACCACAAGTAGGGCATCAACGTCGCGCATTGACCTCAGCCAATGTTTCGGTGACCGGTCGCAAAGCCATTTTTCTGGACTTCCGCTTTTCTAGAAGCTGAGCTCTGAATAATCAATCTTACGAGTAAAGATTGATTATTTAGAGTGATTGATTATATAAGCAAAAAACGAATTCGAATTTGAGCAGCTTATGCTCAAAAGTAGATACAAATCAAAACAACCAATCAAAGCCCACTTCTCAGTATCTTCATTTCTCTCACCACACTATTCTCTGATTTCCACCTCATCAGAGCTGCCTTGCTGATACGAAACTTATTAAAAAATCAAGATTATGTAAGCGACTTACTTGCTCAAAAATTCTTGGCATAAGTCGAATAGTTTTCCAGCTATTTCCTATGTTCATGCAGATGGCAATACCTTTCTCAACAACTAAAAAGTAACATGAGATAAAAATACAGAAAGTTCATAGTGCTTACCTTTCCTGCTTTTCTTCAAGATCTGGACGGCGTTGTAACAGCACTTTGAGGCAGAAACCATATTGTAAAAGTACTCTGCGCGCCAAAATGAGGGTGGCTTCCATGCGCACCTACCTTTTGTGAGGATAGTTTGAGATCTTCACCTCCGTTGTAATGACGAAGACCAGAAACGTACAGACATCAGAATTTTCATCGAAATCAACACCAAGAATCGTATGAGCAAGCTGTTCTCCTCCTGAAATCATGGTACCCTGATAAATAACAACACTTGCAGACTCAAGCGACAATAGCGAAAGTTAACTGAAGTTTTTCTTGAATAATCTAGATGTTGTCAAAAAACAGCGAGAAAAAAGTGCAATCGTTACTAAACAGGAGAATGAACAAAGAGAGGCATGACTTGCAAAATATAAAATATGAGATAGAGAACTAAAATAGCGAAATAGCGAGATAGCGAACTTACTCGTTCAGTGATTGCTGAATTAGATGGCAAGAGGGAGAGTGAGATGAAAGAGAAAGAGGAAAGAAACGAAAAAGCGAGAGCACCACAGAATAAGATGAGATTTTATAAATGCGGATTTCAAAACTTCGTGGCTCGCGCCTTGGTGTGTTCGCAATTTTTCGAGCACTACCGTACTCCAATATTTTTCGACCCTTTTCGGAGCCACA